ATGCAGCACTCACACGCGACCGCATCTCGAAGCATGTGGATCAGGTTCTGGACAGATCAGACGGCAGAGGCACGCACCTAACCCTAGCAGCCAAGAGGATGATTTCTAGCCAACTCGTGCTCGCCATAGAACTGCTAGATGGCCGCCAAACTGGCAAGTGCAGGGGATACGGCCTTAGGAACTGGACCTGGCCACTGCGTCAGTGGTTGCGATCGGTCAACTCTTGCGACTGAGACAGTTTTTGTTATCGGGAAATGAAATGTTATGATCTGTAGATCAAGTGTTATGCTAGTCATATTTTGACTGAGGATAGATCACACGCTGGAGAATTTTTAGTTTAGTTTTGGTAGGAGATTCTGTTGGTGATATATGTACGAGTCAACTCCTGGCCACGATACGGCACATGTAATCACGTGCTGTTTTAATTTAATTCAATTTAATTGTGTCACAAATAAGCTCTCACGACTAAACAATCAGAAACAATCAGATGCATAAATGGGCCCACTTCTTATCTGCCACCCCTAAAATAGCAATACTACAGATAAGATTTTCATTTTACCACTATCTCCATTATTCAGCTACGAAATTTTAATCAAAGACAATTTTAGTACTTAGCAGTCATACACATATATCGTCCAACTCTCATATTCATCACAAATCTTTGACATAATATTTTGATTACACATCAACACACCTAATGAAAGTTTTTTTGTTTTGTTTTTTGTTTGTTAACGGACGGGTAATGCGGAGTGCAATTGTAGGCGAGGTCTTACAAGTTCCAAACTAAGCAAGTTTTCGTACAGTTGAGGTTAAGCTACAGTCAAGTTAAAGTTACACGTTTTAGTACAGTACAGTCAAAGTTAAGCTGCTCTACTAGCACACTCGCTAGATAGTTAGTTTTAGATAGTTAAGATTATTAATCAGTTAGTGTAAATTAGTATCAGTCAGGATCTGTTAGCTCACAAAACTGTTAGTTTTCGCGAAGCAGGTCTGACTTTCATATATATTCTTATATACCTTATCATAAACATTTATTTTGATTAATCAATTCACAACGAAATTTAAAAACATCATGAACACAAACGGTGAAGTTAGCAATAGTCAAAAAATTAAAATCAAATGCACGGCCTGTCCGGGCTGGTGTTACTCTAAGTCTAACTTGCGTACTTGTGCATGGTGCGAGGGCCATGTGCATAGGAAATGTTTCCAGGAAACGTTAGGTTGCATCAGATGTTGCGAATCAATGATTCCAGGTTACAATGTAGAGACATTCGATCTCTATGATAAGTTCGACCACCTTCACGCATCACGTCTTAGTTTCAATCCATATGATCGCTCGCACGTAATAAATTCCATCGGCAATAGTTTAGATCAGAATAGTGACATGAACAACGAATACTGGAATGAAATAAGCGAAATCTTAACCAAGTGCAAATATCAAGAACCTAAAAACGTCACAAACTCCGCCAAAGACGAGTTGAAAGTTTTTTCATTAAATATACGATCACTAGCAAAAAACATAACATATCTTAGAGAAGAAATCCACACCTTCTCAAAATGTGATGTGTTATGCTTTAATGAAACTAACTGTAACATTGATAAGCTGCCTAATGGTATTGATGATATCACAATCGAGGGTTTTCACGAACCTGTTATACAAGCACCTTTACGAAAATCGGGGAGAGGAGGTGGGTTAGCAATCTATATAAACAAACGTGTGTGCGATTTTGATAAAATTGAACGTCTTGACTTAGCTCTGGATCCTGAAGACATGAGTGGCGAGTTCCAACTAGTCAAAATTCATAATTGCAAAGGTTTTAACAAAACCAAGGTTATAGTAAATTTATACAGATCACCGTCAAGAGATACAAATAAGTTCATTAGCTTACTCGATCACGTACTTAATAGACTAGATAGACACTCACGCAAACACGTTATGTTTCATGGCGATGCAAATATTGATCTTATTAAATATGACACTGATTCCTCAAGCCAGAACCTCATTGACACACTGGCAAAATATGGTTTTGTTCAAACTGTTTCAAAACCAACACGAGTCACTGACCACAGTGCCACCCTTATTGACCATGTGTACACAAATAATATTGAAAACACATTAAGTAGCAACGTGTTAACACTCGACATCTCCGATCATCTTGCAACGTTGACCACTATAAAGTTACGTGCAGTATCACAAAAGCACACCACACACTCAAATAGGACCGATACCACAAAATACCGTGAAACACGTACTATGAATGAAGCCAGCAATGCTATGTTCAAGGAGCTATTGGAAGGGGAGACGTGGGAGGAAGCGCGGGAATCAGGCAGTGCGAGTGAACAGTATGACAAGTTCTCAGAAATCTACATGAAACATTACAACACTGCATACCCCGTTAAGAGTAATCGTAATCGTCGTGAAAATGAACGGTCTGATCCGAAGCCGTGGATACTTCCATGGCTCGAAACAGCTTGTGCACGTAAACAGCAATTATACCATCTTAATATCACAGAGCCTACTGATGAAAACATAGCTGCATACGATAAAATGAAACTATTTTGCAGTAAACACGTTAACATTGCCAAGGAGCGGTATTACAAAAAACAATTTGAAAAATATCAGGACTGTTCCAAAAAACAATGGGAGATAATCAACGGCCTGCTAAACAGAAAAAGACGGGGATCTGATCAAATCAGATTGAGGGATACTGACGGGACGATCTTGAGTACTAACTCGGCAGTCGCTGAAAAGTTCAATGGCTACTTTTCCAGCATCGCAGCCAACATCAAGTCTCAGATCAGTTCCCGACAGACCTTCGATCCTGGGGGGTTCCAGGAGTATCTGACCGGGTCATGTCCAACGTCTATCTACCTCGAACCTACTGGGCCCACCGAGATTCATAGAATTATTATTGGCCTAAAAAATAAGGCAACTCTCGATTCAAAGATTGAGCCCTTGAAAATAGCCAGCACATGCCAAAATTTTTTATGCGCCTTAGCAAAAGTAGTTAACACATCTTTTGTAGAGGGAGCTTTCCCTAAAGCTTTGAAAACGGCAAAAGTTACACCTATACACAAAGGAGGTTGTAAACTCGACGTAGCGAATTATAGACCTATTTCGCTTCTGGGCTCGTTCTCAAAAATTTATGAAAAACTAATGCACAGACGCGTTTTAGAATTTCTCGACAAGAATAACTCTCTATTCGAGAATCAGTACGGATTCCGACCAGGAAGATCATGTGAGCACGCACTTCTCAATGCTCAGAGCTCTATTCTGCATTCTCTAAATAAGAACCAAATAGCACTTTTATTACTTTTAGACTATAGCAAGGCATTTGACGTCCTAGATCACGCGACATTACTCAGGAAACTTGAGCATTACGGTATTCGTGGCATTGCGTTGAAATGGTTCGAGTCATACCTCAGTGGTCGCAGTCAATTTGTTTCCCTAAACGGCTCCAATTCATCATTAGAATCTATGATATACGGTGTTCCACAAGGGAGCATATTAGGCCCCCTGCTCTTTGTCATATATATCAATGACTTACCAGGAATCAGTAACCTAGCTAAATTTATATTATACGCAGACGACGCAAACATTATTATCACCGGATCAAATGTACAAGACATTATATCCAAAGTAAACCACCTCACTGACGTGTTGATAAAATGGGTTAACTCGAACGGCCTAGCTCTTAATCTGAAGAAGACTTGCTATATGGTATTTTCAAAAAGACGGGTAGATCTATCGTCTCTACAAGTAAGTATCGACAACTCTCCTATAGAACGCAAAACGGAGGCCAGGTTTTTAGGAGTTATCGTCGACGACAAACTAAAATGGGCCAGCCACATCCGAGCCGTCAAAACAAAAATGTCACGGTTTATAGGTATTATGTTCAAAATAAAACGCAAATTACCAATCAAAGCACGCTTACAGATCTTCCAAAGTTTTGTACAATCTCACTTAAATTTCTGTTCACTAGTTTGGGGCTTTGCTGCAAAATCCCATATTGAATCACTGTTCACTAAACAAAAGCAGGGAATACGAGCAGTTATGCCGGGCTACGTGAATTACTATTACAAGGACGGTAAGCTTCCGGATCATACTAAAACTACGTTTAAAGAGTACGAAATATTATCTGTACACGGGGTCATCATAAAAAATGCTCTGACTCTGATGCACAAGATAACTTACATGCCTGGCCTTCTGCCGTCGTCGATAAAAGACTTATTTCCTCCCGATATACCAAAGTATGGCACGTCTTATGACGACAATATCGACTGGCTAACAACGTTCTCTCAACCAGATCTACGCGCTAGTGTTCTGTATAAAGGTCCTATATTAGCTATTACCGAGCACAACATTAGTCGCATAACTTGCCCATCTAGCATTTTCTCAATAAGCATATATAAGAAATCAGCGAAGCGTGTAATGATAGAACTACAAAGCTCAGGAAACGATGAAGAATGGCCACCTTTTCTGTTACATAATTTACCCGGGCTACGTAAATCGACAAGATCAGGCACACAACAAATCAACTACCGAGAATAAACTAAGGAATAAATAAAACCAGACGGTTAGCACACTAGTCACTATCAACCATATGCCACTTTTTTCACTGCCCATTCACTGTCATATTAATAGCATCATATAGATAGCGCTAGCAGGTGCTGATAAGACATGGGCTCAGTTATTCTTTTTTGTTTTAACCTCAAGTAGCTTATAAAACAGTGCGTGTGATCATCTGTCGTATCAAATCAAATTATTTGTCACTATATGTTAATAAATCATGATATACAAGTTTTAATTTTTAAAGTTTCTGTTTTTGTTTTTAATGAATAGACGTAATCAACATTTTCAATTTTCATATTCACGCATATTAAATAAAATTATATTGTTATGTATTATATTATTTTGTAAACATTGGCCGGGTATAAAAAACCGGTCCCCAAACAAAACAAAAAAGTATTGCTCTACTTTAACTACCTCTATATTTCAGATGTGTTACCAGGGTTACTAGTATTGCTCTATTCCCTCCTACTATCAAACTACATCCTATGTATAATCATCAAACCTCAGATAATAGATGAACAGGTAAATGTTTTTAAAGTTTATTATAACTGATACTTACCATAACTGTGTGTAGTTATTGACTACTGTTTACCATAAAGGTCACTGTGTCACCTGTGTCACCTGTGTCACCTGTGTTACCTGTGTCACCTGTGTTACCTGTGTCACCTGTGTCACCCTTATCACCTGTGTCACCACTCACCTGTATCACCTGTGTCACCTGTGTCACCTGTGTCACCTGTGGCACCTGTGTCCCCACATCCAGAAACACGCCATCTTGCCAGGCAGCCTGGGAGGCAGCCTGGGAGGAAATTTTTTTTTGGGAGGAAAAACGGGAGAAAAAGAGGAAATTTTTGAGAAGTTACTCCTAAATTTCGAAATATTTTTTTGGAATAAAGACAAATTAATTGAGGAAATTTTTGAAGAAAATGTTTCGATTGTATAAAAATCAAAGAGGAACATCCTGTCAGTTTTGGAACACAGTGAAATATTCTGATTGGAGAATGCAGATTGCTGTTGTGAAGTTACCAAATTTACGTGAGTACTTGATTCTTTTCAATCCCAGTTTATTGCTGTCCTACAAATTTCTTTAATGCCAAATGCCGTCTAAAACACCCTATTTCGCAAAAAATTTCCGGGGGCTGCGCCCCCTAGTCCCCGCCAAGGGGCTCCGCCCCTGGACCCCTGCCACAGCTTGCTCGCTTCGCTCGCTGCGCAGCTGGATTGGACACGTCGACTCGCTTCGCTCGCCGACAGCCCCCACCCCAAACTTGCGAGCGAAGCGAGCGGGCCACAGAATTTAGAAAAAAACGCATCTGGGAGGAAATATAAAACTTTCTGGATGTGTCACCTGTGTCACCACTCACCAGTATCACCTGTGTCACCTGTGTCACCACTCACCTGTATCACCTGTATCACCTGTGTCACCTGTGTCACCACTCACCAGTATCACCTGTGTCACCTGTGTCACCACTCACCAGTATCACCTGTGTCACCTGTGTCACCACTCACCTGTATCACCAGTATCACCTGTGTCACCTGTGTCACCACTCACCTGTATCACCTGTATCACCTGTGTCACCACTCACCTGTATCACCAGTATCACCTGTGTCACCTGTGTCACCACTCACCTGTATCACCTGTATCACCTGTGTTACCTGTGTTAAAACACAACTTCTCTCCGCGGTTTAAAGGCGCTTACTCAAATATTTTACCGTTTTGATATTTGTTTTTAAGGTATAGTGGTGTGGCTTCACTCAAGACCCAGTGTCTTGACGCAGTGTATCGGTGAGGGATAAATCACAAACTAGGGTCCACTGTATACACATAATTTAATTGTGTGGTGCTTACAGTGCTCAATCGGCAAGCCGAGAGCTAGATACAAAATGAAACGACCGGTTGAGTCAGACAAATGTTTCAATCATGATACAAAACCATGATATCATCATAATTTATATACATACTTATAATTGAAGATGGGATCCTACAAACATTCAAATGTATGACGTTAAGTCAAGTATTGACTTTAAATGTTAACAGGATTGGTGTAAAGAAGTTGGGACATCTCACATCAAATTCACTGAATCACATCAAACAACTTAACACGGCGACCATCTTTCTGTTTGCTATCACTGAACTGTGCATATTTTGACCTCTCAGAGTTAAGGTTACATTTTGATTACAGTGCTGCTTTAACACATGAAGGTTTGACCGTTCTAAGTTCTTGACTACTTCGGAATTTAATAATTCTTTAACCACCTGGTCGAAGAAACTTGACTTTACCTTGACGACCTCTTCATCTACCTTATGTCAAGTTTATCATTGAGTTTCAGCGAATTTCCGCAAAACAAGAAGAGCCAGCGCATGTGTAGCTACTGTATCTCGACACATGTTTACGGTTTTACAAGTAGTTGCATTGCTTGGCTCCCCCTTATCACGTACCCAGAAAGATCATGTTCTGTGTTTCGATTTCCTAGAATTGTGGTAAATTTTACGTAACACGCGAGGCTCTTGTTTTCAAGCCGCGCACGAGAACCGCCGATACTGTTAACAGAGTTTAAATCATATTAAATATTGTATCTCTGTCACTGCGCCATAAATATATTGTTTTTGTTATATTTTTGTTGGAATTCTACTGAAACTGAAATTGTGAAGTTCAAATCCACTTTTCTTCTCCTCATTGAATTTTAGAGGAATCAAACAGTTATGCATAATGGACTCTATGGCAACTGTCTCAACTCAATATTCAACAATTACATTGTTTGCGAATGAATTGTGGCTGCTTGGGAGGACAGTCATTAGTGGCAGCAGAACCATTAAAAAAGCGGCATCTCGATAACCCTTATGGCAAAAGAGTCGTTTCAAAATTTGTAATAACGATCGGCAGCCTAAAAATTTTCCAGAAAAAGTGGGTCAAGCCTCAAAGAAAAGCATTTTTGCGAGCTCAACGATTTGGGAAAAGGCTCAGATTTGGAGAAGCAAAAATGTTTAAATATTATGTATTTACTAACTATGAACACTGAGGGTAAGAACAAATGAAAACTAATGACCTCAGGAAACGCTCCGCATCAGAATCAGAGCTGCAGGTCGAAATAAAGTGATTTGAATCAATACATACTAATATAAACTCTAGCAATGTTAACAACTTTTTAAAGAAGGGGGATCTCCAGAGTCAGTAGATGTAGGATAACAGACTCCATGATACCGTAGCCTATGTGAGTAATGTTAACGCTGATGTCAATGTCTAGTACTGATCTCTCATCTGGTTTTGGATCCTGGTCCTATAAAACCTTAGATTGGGTTAAGTATTGTGGAGGAATGTAATGCGCCTGTTTACAAAATCTTAATCGGTATTTGAGTTAAACTTCAGAGCGTCTTAAATAGAAATAATGAAAAGTACTGCCTACATAACTCTTAAATCTAGAACGAGTTTTATAAACCGGTAAGGTAAGAGTAAACAGTTGCTGACAGGACTGAATATCTTCTTATAACCCCCCCCCTGGACCCAGATCACGGGGCTGCGACAAGAGTCACTACTCTGCTCTTATCGTACCGGGATCCTGATTTCTGGGGGAGGTGAAACAAATTAACCCATGAGAGACAGACACGAGTAGAATTGTTTTTTAGAATCATTTAAAGTAGTTCTTCTAAAATAGATTTCTAGTTTAAATGCGATATCAATTATGATTTCAAAATTAAACTGATCTAACAGCAGAGAAGAAAATGTCTACACTTACGAGTAGTGATGTTGAGCTCGTCTACATAACTTCTAAAGTGAGACTGAAACAAGTCCACGAATGTTCTAGAATATACAGCGTGGCCGCTGACGTCAAACACTCCCTAACAACACATCTCTGAAAAAATATTTTGTTTTTACTTTTGATACATTAACAACAATTGATGCAGCATATTTGCCTTTTCTTGCTCCAAATCCAGATTAAATTTTCCATATTGGTTACAAGGTTTAGTCTCCATATATTTCAGTGCATTTCTTTTTTTGAACTTCAACACTAAACATACTACATACGATATACTTTAAACAACAAGAGCATTGTCACAAAACACAAAATGAAGGTTGGTTGGTACTTACCCAAAAATCACCTCAATGCGTTGATTATCGTTACCATGGTTTCCAATCAGTGAACCCCATTCCAGAACCAGGCAGATAACGAAGAATGAAACGAGTGTGAAAACATGTTGTTGTTCAATTTAAAAGTACTACAAGTACACAGCCTGTATCGAGAACCCGAAAACGTAAGGGGAGTTCTGGAGTTAGATGTTAATGTTAGTGCATGTGTCTTATTAAGCATAAGTTTTTAAGAACAAGCATTATATTGGGCATTAGCCAGGAATTTAAAACAACTTGTACACAAGTTTCGGTGTTCTGGATCTGGAGAATAGTTAAGAATATTAGAGAAGATAGTGAGGAATGAGGTATAATGTGAAGAAACATGGTATAAGAAAACGTTAGTTGTAAATAGCACTACAAGTACAAATACACCATGCATTGACAACGCTAGTGGGAGTTTTGCAGTTAAAGACATAAGCGGGAATTCTGCAGTAAGATGTTTAACCAATAACAAATTTTGTGCAGTTATATACTGTAGTACCAAGGTTTAAACCCCATACTACAAGTCTTACAATAACCCCTACTACCCTGCATCTGCACTTATACAGTCGGAGATGGTATTCAAATTGGATTATACTCGACGGAGTTAGTGTCTTTTAGAAATAATAAAGGTTAATATTGCGTGAGATTCAGATCCTTAGTCTTGTTGATAGGTGAACCATTATATTGGCTTGGAGTTTGGACACGTGGAATTAAGGTATTCTGGTTCTGAATGCCATTGCTAAAGCTGATTTGGATAATAATCGGGTCACGTGCCAGGAAGTAAAATGACCTCCACACTGGTCCGGGAAGGTATTCAAATTAAATTATACCGACGTGTTCGTGTTTATTACTTTACCTGGAGGCGCTTCAGCATGTCAAACTCTATTCGATTATTATGTTTATGACATAATCACCTGGGTCCTCCAGGTAGTCTATTATACCTTTAGAACACTGCAGTAAATTGTCTCTTGACTTCTTGATGGGAGGTGGATCCATTATATTGTCTTTAACACGTGATAGGAATTGTGGTAATTTGATTTTGATTGGTTAATAACACGTGCCAGGGAAAAGATATGGTTGACTTATTCATCGGTTGCGGTGAAAAAATAGGTAAAACTGTAAAATTTCGGTCCTGAAATTTCTCTTCAAAAACAGAAAATGTGACAGAGATTGGGACATATGATTTGCAAATTTTATTCGGGATTTTGACTCCCATGCCAGTACCCCCTCAAGTCGTTTTTTCATACCCTCATCAATTAGCTGCTAATTGGTTTCTTGGCAAAAAGTTCAATCAAATCTGTCAATTTTGTTTCAGAAAATTTCACATTTGAAAATGGACAGAATTTTTGAAAATTACACAGCTTTCGTTTTGTTAAGCTTTTCTGCTGTGGGCTTCCTCCGAACCGAAATCCA